TTGGGTTTGTTTGAGGAAAATATTGAAGCCATAAATGGCTGGAAAATGGGTAAACACAAGGGGCATGCCGCCAAATTTTCACGAGAAAGATAAACGAGCTTTTGGAGTTCTAGTTTTGCATCTTGCAAATTTAACTTGAATACACTAAAAACTGGGTCGAGTTGTCTGCATGGAAGTTGTAACCATTTGTTTAAGTTTCGAGACACTACCTAACACATTTTGATCCGATAACCACAGCTCTAGTTATGAGCAAAATCATTTTCACGCACGCGCAAGTGCATTTCTCAACCGTTTTTGCCATTTTGGACCGTTTAGGTCTATTTTTGTTATTTTGTTACCATTCTAGCCGTTTCGGCCAATTTCGACATTCTTTTGGCCTTAACGTCATTTTTGACGATTTTTTATTATTTTGACCATTTTCGAGCGTATTCGATCGTTTAAGTTATAAACTGCTATTGTATGGCCGTTTCACTTATGTGTGTATATAATATGTCAATACAGATTGTGAGACTTCTGACTGTGACGGTCAAACTCAGTGACTTGTATCATTTTTCGTGCCAAGCTTTATCAAGTGAGTAATTGGGTTGTTTATTGATATGGAATTGTTGAAGTACCTTGTATATGTTAAATGGGTACTTAGGCGAGGGTGTACTTTATCTCACTCGACCTAAACCCATCCTTTGTTTTGATTTTCTATGTGAGAATACATGCCTTATGTTGAGTATCACCCTCTTGCTATGTGCTGAGGATGGTGGTTATATGACTTTAGTAGCACCCTTTTGCTGTGTGCTGATGGGGGTGTTTACATGACTTGAATTAAACTCCATTTACTGTGTGCTGTTTGGGGTAAGTACTTTGTTGTGTACTTTGTTGAGAGATACCATCTATTGAGAGATCGGATATCTCAGGGCTTGGTTCCAACCCGGTTCCAAGGGTTAGACGAACTATTCGAGCCAGTTGGGGCTTGGTCGAAGATAGTTCCATGCTAAATTTGGGATTTAGTTCCTTGTTATAGTTTTAATGAAAGCTAAATTATTTTGTTTCGCTCGAGCTGCTGTGTGCTGTTGACTGGCCAGCGGGGGTTGATAAGGTGAACGGGGAAGTTTTAGTGGAGTCTACGGACCATGAGTACTTTGGTTGACGGAGTGTCAACAGGCGTTCAAGCTCGGGGAATTGAACTGGTTTTGGAGCCACCCGTATCCTACCATTGTGATGTCACTTTTCTGTTATTGATGTGAATTATCCTGATTTACTTGTTTATTATGTGAGTTACATTTGTACCCCCTTGATTATTCACTAAGCATATAACTTACCCCTTTCCATTTGTTTTTCTTAGCAGGGGCCCAACGCGGGGATCGCTCGGGCAGGTGTTAGACCTTTGAGTTATAGAATAGTTGAACTTGTACTTGTATAAGTTGACGAGTAAGATGTATATAGTTATCGTGGGGGTTGTTGTTAACACCTTTTCTAGGGTTTACTTTCTAGTACTCGTGGTATGTATGACTTGATGAACTAGTTTATGCAACTTTTGAAACTGTAATAGAGTTAATAGAGCTTTCTTTTGGCGTGGAATCTATTTTTTCATTTTAAATATTGAGTTCCGGCGAGAGTTGGGCAGGCGATCCGCCGAACCCTGGGGAACGCCCTAGGGAGAGGTGGGGCCGTCACATATAGGCAAGCCAAGAACACTACACATCTCTAAAGAATTCTATAAAGTGTATACCTAAACATGTTCTCTAGAAATCTCTATACAAAGTCTATGTATACTTGGACCCTAGAAACTTCTACATAAGTCCCATCTCATCCACAAGGTTTTAGACTATTCCACAAGGCTCTTGAATAGCCCAGAGCGTTCTACAAACTTCTAGCATATGCTACACAATTCTAGCAATTTGTGGCACAACCTCTATGCCTTGCTCAATTCTACAAGGCTTGGCACTTGGTTGGGGGAATGAGATGTGGGTCTATTAACGGTTCCAATTTTTATGTCAGGACTACTATGTACAGTGCTACGGAACTTGCCCAATTGGGCACGGTCGCATGTGCGGCTAGGCACAGTTGAGTGTGGGCGCGGACGCGGATAGGCACGGTCGCACGCGGGTTGGATACGATCCGTGTAAAAGGAGATTTGGTTAATGTTGTGATTAAGGCAATGCAAAGGCAGAAGAAAATTTCGTCGAGTTTGGTCATTTGGTTGATGGGCTACAGGGAAATATGCACAAAGAAAGAACACTAGAATCCGGTGTAGTCCCATCCCTAACTGAGGGCTTGTTGATTTTGATTGATCATGTTAACTGATCATAATTTCTGAATTTGGATAATCAATTTTTGCAATGTTCTCGATTATTTATGTATTTTGATTATAGATTTTTTAATGATAAAATTGTTAAAATCTGTAATCACTCAAAAATTAACTTGTGCTGATTCTATTTATAATTAATTTCTATAATTAGATTTTGTAAAATCTAAAACAACTGGGAACAAGGCTTAAGGAATCAACAGCAAGCCAAGTCATTTCTTTTTGTTGAACATATAGCTTGATCTGCCTAACTTATATTTGATCTTACTCTTGTTTTCTTGCTGACAATTATTTCTTTAACTCAGCCTGCATGCTAAAAATTGGAAAATAGTTTAAAAATTGAAAAACAACAATGAAAAATGAACTTGTGAAGGCTTATTTAAATCCACAAGCTCCATATTGAGGGCAACATAAATGAGAAAAGAATTTAAATCCACAGGCTCCATATTTATCCCATATCTTCAAATGAAACTAAAGACTTATACTATTAGAGTTAGGACTAACTCCACTTTACACCCCTCAACTTGTATTACTTTTTATTTTACACTCCAAATTTTAATTTTAGATACTTTACACCCTAAACTCTTAATTTTGCACAATTTGCCCCTTAAATTCTTAAGATTCTCCCAATTAAATCCAATCAATAATTGCATTATCAAAATTAATGAGGTAAAAGATTATCAAAATTGATGACAATGTACCATTTTGTTATAAACACGATCCTTTAGCATCTTTTGACAACTTTTAGTACATTGTCATGGACTTATATGGTTGCAATCATTAATATTGTTAGCAAAATTAACGAGATAGTTTAAATTAATGATAATGTACTGTTTTACTTTTGCTATGTCATTATGGCATCTTTTGACCATTTTAGGCATATTATCATTAATTTGTTGGGTCCTCTATGCCATTAATTTTCTAATTTAGAAATACTAGTAACTTTCTATCCCAAAATGTGTTACTTTTCACCTGCAAAATCTATCATTGGAATATTTATAGCTTTCTTATCTCTTGAGAAACGATCCTTCAACTAACATGCGTGACTGGGAAGAAGTTTGTCCAGATGCTTATACATGGGCCATTAACAAGAAGACAGATGGGCACCTTTTTAGCTCCTTTTGCACAATTATTCTTGAATGAATTGGAATGCATTTTGTTTCTTCTAGAATTTCTGTACCAGCCAGAGAATCTTTCATTGCTTCTTCAAGGCTCTTGAACCAGATTCTCTTGAAGCTTGAACGGTTTTATTTTTTGGTTATTTTATTCATCATAACAGAAAAGGCGTACAAGTAAAGGGATTATACCATAGCAGATACAAAATTAACATACATACCTGAAGTTTGGAGTAAGCAGATACAAAAGCTGCATACGTGAAGTTTGAATTTTGAGATTGGCTACAACAGCAATTCAGCAGTAAGGATCGAGGAATATGGCTGCTGAAAACGGGAGATTATTGTAAGAATTAGAGTGAATGAGTTGCAAGCTAATGCCAAGTAGAGATTCGTGTTTTTCTCTTGTTTGATTCATTAGCAGAACTCTCTTCGGCAAAATCAACCAAGGTTGGATTGCTACATTCAATTTTGTTCAGATCTTATTCGCCTTCAATAGCAGGCTAATGATTTTGCAGCTTTCGCTACATTCAGTTTTCCTTGGGAATTTTATGAGAACTGGAAATTAGTCACATAAGGACGCATTAATAAGATTATCTCAAATTCAGTTGGAGCTGCGATTTCAAGATTGTGGAAGATAATCTTTCATGAACTAATTATTGTACTCCACTCCTGAATCTTGATAAGTAGCGGTTCTGGCAGAACTAGGTGATTATGATGAATGATCAGATACAATTTTGTGACGATTCTTCTAAGTTTGAGGGCAACATAAAATAACACAGGACTGATTCACTGCTTATATGCATACCTCCCTACCTGACACTAACAACCATGGTTTATAATCGTGTAATATTAACACAATTCAGATGTACAAATGATTCTTCCTGTCAAATCAGATTCGTCTAACTATTTTTACATGTTAGTTCATGTCAAAGCTTTGAAGTTGCAACTTAGGCCTTATTCAGTCCTTATTTTGCCGGCTGCTCACTTACAAGTAAAGTTATATATGTACAAATCTAAGATCCTGGTGTGGAAATTGAACATCAGTATTTGGCAGCAACGATTGATGAATGTGGCTGCTGCCAAAATAAGAGATTATTGCAAGAGCAAGAATGGACGAATTGCAAGCTAAATCCAGTCTGCAGCCATCCTTTTCTCTTATCTCATTCAATAGCAGAACTCTCTCGGGCAAAATCAATCAAGATGACTAGCTACTTTTGATTTTGTTCAGATCTTATTCGTTTTCAATGTCAGGCAAAAAGAATTTGCTACATTTCCTTTAGGATTCCTTGGGGATTTAACCAGAACTGGAAACTATTCATGTGACGATGCATTAAAAGATTTTCTTAATTTCAGTTGGAGATGTGATTTCAAGTTGTGAAAGATAATCTTGCATGAATTAATTAATCTTTTCCACTTCTGAATCCTCTTATGTATCAATTGTGGCATTATCATATGATTATGATGAATGATCACATACAAAATTTCTGGAAAGACTTCAAAGTTTGAGAGGCAACATAAAATGACATAGGACTGATTCACTGCCATATGCATACCTGGTAACTATTTTAAGAGCCATGGCTTGTAAGTATTGTGAACTTGTTATCTTATCTAATAAAAAATTCTAACATACAAATGGTTCATATTGTCAAAATCAAATCCCTCTAACTATATCTACAGATTAATTCATGTCGAAAGCTTTGGAGTTGCAACTCAGGTCTTATTCAGTACTAAATTTGCCGGCTGCTTGCATAGAAGCAAAACTATAAATGTACAAATCTAAGATCCTTGTATTGAAATTGACCATCGTTATCCAACTTCTTATAGTAAAATCTCACTTGCGCGCGCAACTTTAAAGTTGCTGCAGAAAGCAAAACTGTCCTGGTGACATCAACTCAAGAACGTTAGAATTTAATATATCAGGTTCAATTTCAAAGTCCCACGGGCCTAGTCTCGATTCAACCCACGAGTCTAGTCTTGATTCAACTTCTCCACGTGAGTATCCATAGATCAGTTCTTTTAGCCTCTTGGCAACTGCTGTTGTTTCAGTCCTCGATGTTGATATTCCACCCTACACATACATGAATCAAACAATCAAGAAACTCAGTTTTTTAGCTATGCCATTTCTTTTCTCAATCAGCATTGAGAAAATTGAAAGATGATAAAGAATTACAACAGAATGGCTAGATCTCACTAGTACTTTTACTGAATACTAACCTTGTCATGAACTACTTGGAGCACTGAGTTTCCATTGCTGGAAAAGTTAGCATTGACAACCTCAAAACCTTCTTTGCAAAGCAGGCGAATAATGCCATAAAATGAAGCTTGTTCTTCCAGCCCATTTAGCAGAATCACATCCAAATTAGGTCCCATGTCATGAACTTCAACATTAGTTATCTTTGTAGTCTCACCTGTAGCGCCTGCATATGGTCTTTTTCCAAACAACAGCTTCTCCTTCTTTTCCTTACATTTCTCGAGCTTCTTCTCCATGCTTTTGATGTAATTTATCGCTTCGTCTATTTGATCAGGCACTGTCAAATTTTCCTGCATTCAACATATGTCAAAGTCAGTCCCTTCTGTGCATAATCTCTCTCTCTTTAACACACATAAATAGGAATATAACACCATCTGAATTAAGGGGTAAAAACTAAAAACAGACCTTGGAGCTGTCACTTGGAACAAGACCGTAAAGCCGAGCGTAGAGATCCTTCATGTGACTTCTCCTATTTTTCTCAACAATTCTTCTTTCCATTTTGGGATTTGAAGTTGAAGGATGAAACCTCTCCATATGTTCTTGAATTGGAAGTTTAGTTAGGAACCAGAAAGCATTTGAAACTTTCAATCTTGAAAATTGAAAATTGTTGAAGTTCCTTTTGTGCTTGCGGTTTGGTTTTTATACTAGCTTTTTCTCAGTGGACAGAGAATATTGCGACCAGCACTAGAAAGTAATGGGATTTCCAGCAAATTTATAGCGTCAAAAGATAAAGAGTCATGACGAAACCAGTATGAAATCATTAATTGATACGTCACTCATCATTCATCAGCCGGCAAGTTGGAAAACAGAAGTTTGAGTTCACTCTCGCTTTTTCCCAACTATATGAGTTGACTTTTTTCACCACGTGTTGTTTTGGGTAACTGCAACGAAGAGGGATCCTAGGACCCAGGTTAAAATGAAAGTTCCCGAATCATTCAGCAATTCCTCTGAAAATCCTTGAATTCGGTTAGTATTAAAAACAATAAGAGACAAAGGATATCTACTTGACGCAGGATCAATTACGAGGGATAGTGATAAAAAGTTTGTACCCACTGAATATCAACTCTATTATATTACGTATACTTGAAGAATGTTATACTTCTTTTGTCATATTTGGAATTTTAGGGGGAAAAAAAAAAGGAAGAAGAAGCATATTTTTATAGTTTACTTTTTCACGTTTTAAACTAAAAAATAAGTCGGGGGATGATATCTATTTCTTTCTTTTGTCATCTCTTTCACTGTTGGCGTCTTTAGATTTTTATTTTAATACATATATATATTTATTTATTAAAATATTTATTAAAATACTAAAAGAATGTTATACTTCTTTTGTCAAATTAGGCATTTTAGGGAAAAAAAAAAAGAAGAAGAAGCATATTTTTATAGTTTACTTTTTTACATTTTAAACTAAAAAAATAAGTCACGGGATGATATCTATTTCTCTCTTTTGTCATCTCTTTCACTGTTGGAGTCTTTAGATTTATATATATATATATATATATATATGTGTGTGTGGTTATATCACAAGTTGCATAAATCTAAGGCTACTTTGGCTCTCCTAAAGTCAATAGTTGTAAACTTTCTGTTTGATATTCAAACTTGGCCCCAGATTAGGTCACAATCAAAAAATTTGTCCGATTTCTGATTAAAATTTGTGGCATGACTAATTGCAAAAATTCTAGTTTCGTAAATATAAATTCACACGTTACTTACAAAAAGACACGACTATGGCAACTATACCAAACCACATCATCACCATTTGGTTGGAATCATTTCATAAAACAAAGAAAAGAAGTTTCCAAGCGATTTTGTGCTTTTTTTAAAAAGTAATTTTGTGTTTATTTAGCCAATTGAATCAATCGCACCTGAATTTACTTGCATCAATAAGTTGGAGTTTGAATGTTAAATGCTCAATTTAAGAAAACAAAATGCAAAAGGTGAGATTTTAGAATGCCCCATATATATACCTTTGAATTGTCATATCATATCATAGATTCAAAGGCTACACTGATGATTTTCTATATTTAGAATACATCCTATATATGAATACATCTTTTTCTTACCAAGATTCAACCAGACAAGTTTTTTTTTGGCAACAACTTGTAATCATGACTAACGAAACAAACAGTCCGTAAAGATGGTTGGAATCTTGATTGTGGTCTAAATGTTAGATAAACGTTCCAAAATTGAACAGAAAAAGTGAGAAATTGATTTATTAAGGGCTCAACCGATATAACTTCATCTTTTTTAAGGACTAGAAGCTCATCGATTTTGTGTCCGACAATGAGTTGTGCGACGACCCACAAAGGCATTACATGTCACATCCTCGTCTCATGCAAAAGAGGTAATGAAAATGTCGCCATTAGATTAGGTGCATGATGTGTTAATGAAAAGTTAGTGGATAATTTTTCTTCACGAGCTCACTTTTGTCACCAAAAAATAAAGTTCAGTAAACAAAATTTAAAAAAAAAAAAAATCAGTTAAAACTTATAAAATTCTCGAAAACGAAGTCATGCGCAAGAAAATAAAAACATGCACGACTAATCACCAGTTAATCAACGATTCCCACAGACAAAAGAGTGAAAGCTATTTATTGAAATTAGAAAATCAGACAAGCAAAAGGTGAAATGATATCTATCAAGTCTCTGTTTCTCCAGTTATAAAATTTTTTTCACTTTAGCATTAATTAAAAGAGCAAATTTGTTGATTGAAAATTGATCACTTTTATTCATTCACACAAATTTTTGTCTTGACTAGCCTGGATGAATTTCGTGGAAAAGATGTAATGGCTATGGCACAACTGAAAAGGGTATTCCATAGATTCGAATTTGTCTTCCTTGCGTGTCACTACCACGAACACTAATGCAAGACTGAAGACTCCATGGTTCTTTTTTTTTTTCCCAAAAAAAAAAAAAGCATTTATTTGACTCCATGATTTAACTGTTATTTCTTTCATTCTCTTCTAGAATTTCTTCTTCTTCATTTTTGTGACCCCCTTTTGGCCTTTTTTGGCATCTCCCACTCCCAAGGGCTAGTCAAACTGCCCCTTAGCATGAAATCCTCGGTTCAATTCTTGCATTCTTGATGAGTAATTTGATCAACGTAAACTAAGCTAAAAACTTTAATCAAACCAAATGAAAACAACTCAAAAAAATTTTTTTTTTTAACTCTGATGAAGCTAAAATCGGCTCATTTTAAGACCTAAGAAGATGATATTAGACCATCAATGTACTATTATTGGTCAATAATCTTCAAGGAAATAACGCATCAACTGCCTTTTGCATTTGAACACCTTTATCTTAGCATGAGCACCTCTGTCTGTCCCTAAATAAAAAAAAGGAAAGAAAAAGAGCACTTCTGCATTTTCCATGTCTAGAAATCCAGTGAGCCAATAGTAGTCAATAGTCAACAGTTGAGCTTTTACCATTTGTGTATTATTAGTTTTGTATTTTTCTTTTGGTTAAATGAGATGAGTTGAGTCGAAATTTGATCTAATCGAATCAAGACTTAATTTAATTTTATTAAACTCAAGCTCGAGTTCTACCCAAATTCGAGTCAAGTTCGAGTTTAAAAATATAAAAATAATTATTTTACTTTTAAAAAATAAATAAAATAATAATTTATTTTAATAAATAATAAACTATTAGAAATATAAATGTAATTTTATTATTAAAATTATATATTTATCTATTTATTTATACATATAATCGAGTCAACTTAAGAGCTAACGAGTTGAAGGTATCTTTAAACTCAAGTTCGAATTAATTAGTTCGAGATCGACTCGAGTTCCATGCTAATTAAGTTTAAATTGAATTTTGACTCAAGTTGGTCGGAGCGTTCGATTCACGTGTAGCAGCCCTCTTCTACCCTTCGATTTGTCTTTGTTCCGTGTTATTGACGCTAGCACCAAGGCAAGAGTACTATTATTTTTATTCAAAGTATGGCAAGACCAATGACTTCAAAATTCAAAGTTTTGCTTTTCTTTTCTTTTCCCTTTCTACTTTTTTTCTTTTTCTTTCTTTTTTCCCCTCTTTGGTCTTTTCACAATGTCATGATTCATGCCTAGCATCAGTGGCACAGCCACATGCAATCAAATGGGGTCAATTGACCCCACTTAACTCTGGAAAAACTAGTTTTTTGACTTCAGAAATTTAAATGATTTTAAAGTTTCATTTTATTTGATTCCATTAAATTTTATCAAATTCTCTTTTCTGTATGCATTGATCCCAAATAATTGAAAATTCATAATTCTTACCATCACAATAATTTTGAATTTATTTGAAGTAATTTATGGAAGCTAGTTCAAGAAAAGTTTCCAAAAATTAAGGATGAGCTTTCTTGAGCGGAACGAAAAAACCAATTTTTCAAGCTTCAAAGTTTTCAAAAACAAGAATTTTTCAAGTAGATGGTAAGTTTCTATTTATAATATGAAATTAAGTTATTATGATTTTTATTTATGATAGGATAAAGATAAATTTCTTAAAAGAAACTCATAGAAGCTCAAGCCAATGATAGCTCGCAAATTATTTTAAGAAAATCAAAAACTTCAGTTACTTACATTGGAAAAGATGTATTTAACAAAACTGATAATGAATTAATTTTGTAACGCTTTAAGAAAATGAGTACTCGTAGAGCACAATTATAATTTATTTGTAACGTTAGTAGTTTTTATTGTTTATTTTTTACAAAATAAAAAGTTTCACTATACTAAAATTTGATCTCACTTACCGTAGGATCTTGGTTCCCCCCTTGCCTAACGCGGTGGAGATGGTTCATGGATAAAAGAATCAATCCGTTGGGATAAATAGAAGTAGTAATCAACTACCTATGCTCAATTTTTAATTGCTTTAAAATGGATCAAATTCTTTAATGGACATTAACACTTTCTTTGGAGACATCATTACATTAGCTTATGTAATGGATAAGCATTACTACCAAATGTTTTTTTTTAGACTTTTGGGGCATTACCAATAAGGTGTTTGTGGGCACCTAAATATACAATATGCTTCGGGGATTTTAAGCCAAATAGCAATTGGTTGAGAGATTTAGTAGTGGACATGTCCTGTTAGTGTTAATGACTCAAGAGTAGCCAATTACATTTTTTATGTTACACATCAAAAAGCAATTTTTTGGCAAATGCTGATATTTAGCGTCCAATATGTGATAAATGGCGAGGGCAAGGACATATGGTGGACAAAGTCCTGATCCACAATCGGAATTTCATCCACTGTTTATTTGTTGTTTTCGCTATATTTTGTGATGCCTAAAATTCTCGTACAGCGTGGTCCAAGTAGATAGAGTGACCTTTGTTGACTAGAATAAGAGCTTCATGTTTTGCCTTGCATGCATCCTTAACTTGGAAAGTCGATGATTCTCATCCGCTAATTAGCAAGAAAGGAATCAAGGTTACAATTGAAGCCTCTCCCAAATCTTTTTCATAATTTGAGTCATCGAAAAACTTTACACTAAAATTAACCATTTCTGCTTAAAAAGCATTCAATCGAGTCCAACAAAAATTAGTCGGCTATGTCCAACAAAAATTCAAGCGTGTTTAGGTTGTACCAACCCATCCATTGCCACCTTTCACATTAATCAAGTATTGATTCTAAAGTTAAACAACTACCAATTCAATTGAAGCCCATATTGCAAATTCAAGAATCTAAGCTCTTCATCTAGAACC